TGACATTTGAACTTCCCGAATCACTAGGTTTTGGTGAAAAGAGCCAAGACGATGGTAAGTGACTTGAATTAATGGTTCGTCCACCATGCACTCATTTTCCAAACTTGCAACTCTCTCAGTCTGAGTCACCGCGTTCTCCACTATGGTTCCAAGTTCATAACTAACAACACAAACTTGATTCGGTAAGCGTGCACTATGTGTAACCAGTATTCACACCGCATTCCCGACGGGCGCCATGAAGTAAGGTTGTGAGGCCTAAGATGATTCACCCACTTCACACTGAGCAGTCTCTCTTTTTTCCTCCTAACTCCAATCTCGAAGTCGACTAACCCATGGTCATACAATACATGGCAATGTTGGTTGTGCAGGAAATCCCAGTGGTCGAGAGTTTTCTTGGAACTGGGATGTTCATCCGAGGAGTCTGCCTCATTCTATAAGCTCCTGTCCCAGTCTGCTAGATCATGATGAGAGAGATAGTTAGGTGGCATGGGTTCCTCTGCAGCCACTTCACTATCCTCTTCAGGTTCTTCGTCCTCCATAGGTTCCTATTCTTCATCTTTCATGGGTTTACTCTTCGTCATTTGATGGTCATACTGAAGAGCTATTGTATTGTGAAGGCGGCTCTAGAATCATAGGAAAGTAAGGGTCTTCTGGCTATGGAGTGTGTGGAATAGTTTGATCTTCTTCTGGTGCAAATATATCCATCCAAATTCCGTAGTTTTCCATTCTAATGTTAATATCGTACATAAAACATCAAATAGGTAGAGATTTACGAGTGTTAGTGTTTTATGAGAATCTTTTAAAGTGTATAAATGTTTAAAGTATTTTAATCTAGTTTATCCGAATTTATATGATTTAAAGGTAATAAATATTTTGTTAAAGATTTGCGAAAACTCCTTTTTTGATGAATTCTCAAGCGTTTAGTTTATCAAATACCGTATTCAAAGTTTAGCTGTTCATTAGTCGGGCCATAATAAAATTTAGTCGCGCACTGAGATTTAGTTATCGATCAACTTATGTATCGAACCAACTTTAGATCATGTATTTGACCTAAAATCTTGATTTGTGTTCTAATCGAGGGACTGAATGTTTATATAACTCTATATCTGAAGTTTGTGTATTTTATTTATTTGTTTTTGTACTTCAAGGCTAATTGATAATAGCCTAATCAGTAGTGTCATTAATATTTGTACTTTTTAGGCTCAGGTTTTAGGGTAAAACTTTTCTAGAGTCGGTTAGATTTAGACTTATGTTTAAGAATAAACCTTTCTAGAGTTTGATAGATTAGACTCAGGTTTAAGAATAAACCCTTCTAGAATCTGAGAGATTTGACTCAAGTTTAAGAATAAACCCCTCTAGATTCTAAGAGATTTGACTCATGTTTAAGAATAAACCCTTCTAGAGTCTGAGAGATTTGACTTAGGGTTAATAATAAACTTTTCTAGATTTTGAGAAATTAGACTTAGGTTTAATAACAAACCCTTCTAGAGTATGAGAAAGCCCCAAGCTATAGTTCTCTTCTTTAGATAAGATACTAGTTCGTTATAGCTAATAGGTCTGTTACCAATTTGAACATACAACAATACGATATTAAATGAATACTTTTATTCATTAAAAATAGTATATTAAAATATCCCTAGTCTAGGGTACATGCAATTCAAAGGTGCATAACAAGCCTTAACAGTAGGAAACAAAGAAAATACTGAAATACAAAAGACGAAATGTAATCATATGACCATTCTGATAGTATGTCTTCCAGCAGTTTAGTTCCTTAAGAATACATGTGTTTTGAAAGAGTGTCAACTAAAAAGTTGGTAAGTTCCTAGGTTTGTAATAACTGAACCAAAATGTAATTTATTACTAAAGTATGACTGTTATATAGTTGATAAGTACTTTTCGAGACCGAAAAGATTTATTTGGATGTATACATATAGTTATACATATAGTTTCATATCCATATATAATGTATCTTTATTATCGTGAAATCTTACAATTGCAGTTCTGATAAAAAGAAAAATGGCATTCCTTGTATGTATATAGTTAGTTTCCTAACTATATTCTATATTCATTGTGAGGTCCTATAACCGAGTTTTTGACGATTGATGTGTCTCTCCTGACGGTTCATCAGACGTCGTAAATAGTAAATACAATTAGCACCCGTTGTGACTCGACCTTCAAGGTTGCAGATAGCAACCACAAGTAGGGGTATCAAATTGTATACATCTATACATAATTCTCCCGCTCCTCCAAAATTAACGGTTATAAAGCAAGTGGTCTTTCTATGTTTTTTATACTTAGTTGATGAAAAAGGATTACAGGAATTTATTAATATTGAATCAGTTTGATGTCCCTTACATAAATGACAAATTTTCGGGAAAATATCTATAGTATTACTTTACTATAATCATTCTATGATTTAAAGTTCTATAGTACATTTCTACTGTATTTGGTATTTGGACAGAGTTACTACGATACAATTCTATTGTATATATTATTTCAACAAAATTTCAATAGAGTTTTAATAAAATTTCTACACCCCTAATAGAAATAATATAGTTATATGTATTCTCCTCCAAAAACAGTAAAAGATTTAAAATGAGGCCGAGACACTCACTTGGATTGATGCATGTCGAGAAACCGAAGATATTAAGAAGTTCTAGAAAATAGCAGTTTTGCAACTCGATGAATACTGATCTTGACTGGATGAATACTAATGTTGACCAGTGTAATTTTGCTTGGCCAGAATCTGATCGGAAACTACTCCAAAAACTGGCCGGAAAAGGGCTCTGGCGACCGTGGCTGATGTCGGCGATCGGCGGGTCGGCATTTCTGGGATGATCGGAGGCTGTTGGTCGACAGGGTGTGGTTGGATGAAGCTTCTCTGGCGGTTTCCCGGTATTTCGGCAAGGCGACAGTAGGCGGTCGATGGTGGTTCCGACGGTTGTGACGATAGCAGAGAGAGAGAGAGAGAGAGAGAGAGAGAGAGAGAGAGAGAGAGAGAGAGAGAGAGAGAGATCTTACTATTCAATCTTATCCACGACAAAACCTGATTCGTAATATATAACTAACTTTTCAATATGAAACCTGAAAATGGCCTTACGATTCAATCTTATCCACAACAACTCAATGTATTCTTTAGGCAGAAAAAATTAGAAACGTGATAAATTTCTAATTCGAATGAAATTCATAGGAAAATTGTTTGGGGATGAAAATTCATTTCCTAAGATGTTTCGTAATTCGTTTGAAGTTCATGTTTTGACACATATGTGAATCGTTGGAGCGTGACGCATCCAAATGAGGGTGCGCCGCGTCCACGAAACCGCACAGTGATCTAAAACGACTCACCGCGCTTCATAGGTAGGGTTTCGGAATCGATCGAAAACGCATCACGACCCATAAGGACGTGTCGCGCCTAATAGACCAGAAAACGATTTATGTCATTTCTAAACCATATATATATATATATATATATATATATATATATATATATATATGGAAATCCATTAAATTTTTAGTCTAACGAAGTGTAGAATTTAATAACATATAGCAATCCATTAAAAAATAATAATAATAAAATAAATTAATGAACAAGTTCTAGTTTTCCATCAGTTTTGTATATTTTATAAAATAAATATATTTATTGAATACCATAAATTGATAAATACAACAATTGCATGCATGCATGTATTAACGATTTTACTCGTAAGACGTAAATCAATAACCAGAACATGAAATGTTCACTGTGTCATCAGAAGTCGGCCAAACCTGGAGCACCACTATCACCGGCACCAGGAGCTTGTTTCTGAAACATGCAAACCTTGCAATTAGGTGAAGTTAAAGATGGAGTTTCATACTTGTCTTCCCCACCCATCAACGGCATGGCTACCCCTCTTTTCACTGGGCTCACATACCCTGGCCTGTAAGTTTTCCCCAAAATGCCCTCCACGTCGTCTGACAGCTTCAAGAACTTGAACTGGGTCTCAAAATGGGCAAAAGCGTCATTTGATGGTAACTGGTAGTTGTGAGTTTTGTCATCTTCTTTGGTCACAGGAACAGCCTTCATGTCAATCTCCACCAATCCACCCACTGTCACTCTGACGGTGTTGGTGTCGTCGGTCCTCTCCACCACCACTTCTCTAACTCCGGTGTTGGTTTTCCATTCTGAATCTCCGTCGAATGGGACGTTGACTTCTTGACCATCCCATTTCACGAGAAGAACGTCAACAGAGTCATCCCATTGTTGTACTTTCTTGGCTGAAAGGACGAGAGTGTGGGTGTCGAACATGACGGAGATAGATTGGACCCATGTGTAGTCACGGATCCTACCGGTGGGTCGACTTCCGATGAAGTGAGCGTTGATTTGGAGGTTGGTGTCAGAGACAAGAGCGAAATCGTGTCCTTTACTACCATGGAAGTAGAACATCACTCCATCACCACCAACGAACCTTGGATCATAACATAAAGAACCATATCCATTACATTTCGCACGTCTCCCTACAAAAAATAAAGATCTGTTAGTCAAAGAAGTGCATTCATGCTTGTTAAATAAAAGAAAAACGTTCTTCGAGGAGGTTGCATACATTTGCAGGTTGCTTCACACTTGCTACCACAATGGATGAAACATCCTTTTTGCTTCTTGTTCTTCTTGGGCTTCCTCTCCGGGCATTCTGCAGGACAAGTGAGTGTCTTTTTGTTGCATTTCCCGTTCGATTTACAGTAAGCCCGCTGCCTTCCGGTTTCTGGATCCGGCGTCAAGTAGTCGTAGTTAGTGGCGTCGGCGTCGGAGGCTTTCTCCTGTTTAGGCGCGGGTGCGGGGGCTGGACTCTTCTTATCGTCGTCAGGCTTCTCTTTGTCGTCAGCTCGAACATTGGCCAGTTGAATGGAGATACAAATGAGAAGGAAAGTTAGCAAAAGAAAAGACTTCCTCATGTCGCAAGCTGCGTTTGTGTCACTGTTTTGTTGGTAAGAATTTATTAAGAAAAGCTGAAGTAGATGATGGTGTTATTGAAAGGAAGGATATAAACTATTTATACCCGAATTAGCCAATTGGGTAAAACATTGATTTCGGCTTAAGGTACGCCTAAAACCATACACGAAAACAGAAAACTACAATATTCGACATTTACATCTAATTCTTGGAAATAATTTCACATGATCCTTTTAATTGAAGTCAATACCTTTTGGATTCTAAAATAAGTTAGTTGAAAAAGGATTAAATATTTTAGAGCTCTAAAATTTATGAAGTGTTTAAAAATTATATACTTTTATCATTAGGGTTTAATTGATTATCATATTATCATCATTGTATACAATACATTTTTTTTTAACATCAAGAAAGAAATGCAAATAAATACTAGCAAAGCGCTAGAGAACAAAACGGCAAGATGAACAAGCCTCAAGTTTTATAGAAAGCGGGCCATGGATTATCCACACAAACTAAACCAATTAGTGGAGCTACCTGGCTTAGTTCTATTACATAACCACATGAATTATTACATAACCACATGAAAGAGTTCGACATAATCTCACTAACAATACAATCAGAGTTGACTTTAACGCCATTGAAGATCAGATAATTTCTGAAATGTCAAACAATGCATTAAACTTTATAATGTTCACATAAACATATTTAAATAGTTATATAAGAATTATAAAACATTTCTTTTTTAATGACTATTGAACGTCAACTTCATTGAATGCAAAGATGATCCTACAAGTAAAGTTTTATCCATTGAATGACATTAAAGTCGACACCTTATTGGGCGTCAAATCCATTAAATTATGTCAGGTGTCATCCTTTAATTATCAAGTTTGCCACCTGTCATCTTTTTGGTCACCATTGTTTTGGTTTTTTGTATGTAAAAGCTATATCCGATTCTTTTTCTTTGTTACCAAGTATATCCATAAAATTATAAATAATTCATCAAAAAATCAAAGCTAATAACAAGAACCCAGGGGCATAGTTTTGAATGAGATCTTTTGTCACATTCGTATATATGAGACGATGCATTCTCTTGGGTTTTTTGTGACTGCAACTACTCTCCTAAATCATCATTGACTATTTATCCAAAATCTCGACAGGCAATCGATAATCAACGGTATTTCATTTCTCATACGCCTTATTTCTCTGATTTTGTATAATGGATTGCTTCATCTTTTCATTTTCTTCATTTAATTCTTAGAGAAGTCAAACCATTTCTCCTTAATTTTGTAGGAGTGGGTAGAATTTAGCTACTGGACATAATTATTTTCCCATGCCCCGCCACCTGTTACAACCACTGTTTACTAGGTCAAGATTAACGGTTTATTTGCTATATATATATATATATATATATATATATATATATATATATATATATATATATATATATATATATATATATATATACACGGTCACGACACCAAGCCGTTCAACAAGACGCTCAACATTATGGTTTAACCTTAATGTTGTATATATACTAATCTCATCTAGTGAATCCCTTCAATCAAGGGATTGTATCTAATCTAAATATAAACCGAACATGTAAATAAGGAATGAATCAGATCAGATCTTCTCCAGATTTTGGATCTCAACACCAACACATCAGAAGTTGATCAGAGCAACAGCTTCAGTCATCAGTGTCAGGGCTAAGCTAATCAGCTTCAACTTCAGCAGATAATGAATAACCATCAGTGAGTATCATCAGTGTATCATCCGATCAGTGTATCATCAGTGTATAACCATCAGCGCCTAGACACATTGATCAGTCTTCAGTATATGGTATCTTCATTCGTTTGGTGTTGATAGAGTCTTCAGGGTCTTTCAGTTATCAGAGAAAGTTCTTCAGTCTTCGACATATGAACTTCCATGAGCATATCTTCAGATTAACTAATTATAACTATAGTGTATATATTTTGCATCATAAACATGTACAATTGAGTGACCCAACAATCTCCCCTATTTGGTGATGTCAAAACTAAACTAATAAAGAATGAACTAATAAATAAATACAACTAAAGTAATATGTTGATTTCTGCACCCCCTTAGATTTAGCTCTCTCCCAGATAAACAACATCATATTTTTTCTCCCCCTGAGACTAATAACCTTCTTCTTTCAAGAGTGTTTACTATTCAAGGAATGATCAAGTAACAACGTAGCAGAACTAGACATTTTTCCCCCTTTTTGACAGCATCAATAGGTACTGCCTTCTTTTTTTATTTTTTTTTTATTTTTTTGATTTTTATTTTATTTTTTTAAGAAGACAACAAGTAACCTGAAAAAAGAAAAACATCAAACAAAGTTAGAGGATAAGATAGGTGTATCACACTATAGTGTTGTTGCAATAGTAGATCATTTACAAAGAATTGTGAAGTCTCATCAACGTATGTTTTTAAAAGCTGAAGCATTAACTTCTTATATTATAAGAAAAAGGGCGAGAGTGGATAGGTCCGTGTAATATATCATGGTACATGATATACCCATCGACACAGAGTTTTCAAGTTCTCATCAGTGTCTAGCATTTGACAATAAATCATAAAACTCTTTAAGAAAAATGATAGGGAAAGAATGGGTTGGTGCGTGTGATAAACTACGGTACATAGTCTAACCATCGGCATAGACTTTAGAACTTTTATCAGTGTGTGGTTTTACACAGTGAATCATCAAGTTCTTATAAAGAATACTTGTGAAAGAGAAGTAGGATGTCTTAATCATGCTAACGTGAAATCAACGTGAATTATTGACAGTGCTAACCCATCAGCAAGAAGTAGTTTAATCCTTGCATCATAAAGTTAGTTGCAGTCTAGAATCTAAGATTCACCTTTAATTCATAAAGGTACCATGTCATACCTCATTTTAGGAGGTCAAGGACTGTTGGTTTTAATCACTATAACACTCCTATGGTGCACATGCAACCCTAGATGCTTTGGATCTATGTTTTCTCTAATTATACATGCAATTTGATTTTCCAAAGCATACATCCTAACTAGCATACAATAGAGGATATACCATATAAAAACCAAGTTAGATGAATACCTCTTGATGAGGTTTGTAGTTCTTGGCCTTTCAAGAGCTTAGCACCTCAAGTGTGATGCCTCAAATGGTTCACAAACACCATGAACAAAGGAGGACTTTGAGAGAGAGGTTTAGCACCACCGAAATCGGCTAGGGTTCTCTCAGAACTCTTAGAATGTTTAGTGTAACCGATTTTGGCTAAGGGATAACACATATATAGTGTAGGATTCCAAGAGTCATTGGTAAACCCTAATCCATACACTTAGGTTATGATCCATATCTCATGTGGGCTAACTCTTCATGGATACTTACATAAAACTTAGCCCAACATGGATCAACAACCCAAACACTATATATATATATCACTGATTTACATAATCAGTCCCCGTTAATTTAATTAGTTTCTTTTGATCACTCAATTAATTCCAAATTAATTATTGATCAATACTAATTAAATAATATTATTTCACAATTAATATATTATAATTATAATATATTAATAAATCATAAATAACCTCTTTCTCAAATATCCATCCTATCAAATTGTCCTGGTGAAGGCAACCCAAATGGACCATGCTACTCTCGAGTCAAGTACATACCAATAATAGTTATGGGCTTAGACACCTAATCCAACAGTCTCCCACTTGGATAATTCTAATCACTATTATTGCAAGTACGACTCCAAAATCCCGACTAGTAATCGTAGCTCTCAAAAGCTGTTGTCGAACTCTGACCTAGTCAATGACGGGCCCATTAGATAAGGGATCATATATTCCTCCATTCTAGATATCGTATGAACTGAGACATGGATTATAGTCATTCTCTCTGTTCATGTGTTGTTTCCCGATTTTCTATTTATGACGACCAACTAATTGAACAAATCAAATCAGTCCAGGCTTGGCCAAGCACTTAGGTTTGTCATCACTAAATCATCGAGGGTCCCACATATATCGCTTTTATCCTACATTGGGTAAAAGGAATGGATAAACTTTGACTCAAATGCTTGCTTGTACTTACTCATCAAATCACACACAACAATATGTTTTATAACACCAAGTTACTGGTGCGTTTACATATGTCAATGTGCAACCGACTTGTAAACTACAACTCACATGTCTTGGTTCAAGAATATAAGATATTATCGTCTCATGATCACTCGTGATAAAATCCATGAAGTGATACAAATGAGCGTGGGTTTAATCCAATACTCGAATCTTATTCCAGAAGTACTCATGAGCACTGCAGCAAACTTGTGCTATGTCTAAAACACTTTAGACAATCTACAGACGGATTCATGACAGTCTTTCCTCAATACCAACTTCCAAAGTATGATCGACTGTGGATAGTTTGAATAACCTAGTTATTTTGGAAGTCAAAACATGAAAAGTGAAACACAAGAATAATTGAATCCAATATGGTCTCAAAACGTTTGAATATAAATAAAACACATTTTATTTACCATATTGATTACACATTATTCATTGTATAATGTTTCGATTTGTCAACATAATACTTGAATTAAAAAAATAGTTATCCCATGCTCCAAGCATGCACACTATGTTTATTTATGGTACTTACTTTGTGAAATAGATCAATTGTAAACATTGCTAATGACACTCATTTCACAATTCCAAATTCTTATCGCAAGTGTAAGAATACCAAGTCCTTGCCACTTACTGTAATCTGTTGGGTTCTAAGCTTATATGCAGTGATCCTTTTGTAATGACTATGTACACAAGTCGCCGAGACTTTGCCAATTACAAAACTTTCCATTGGAGATTGTTACAAGACAATTCCTATAAATACGAAGTCTCATATTCAAAGCACATTCCCTTGAACATCCTTCTTGCATAAAAGTTTCTATCTTACTCATAGATTCTTGATATCCAACTCCCATTATGGATACCTTTTCCATAACTGTCATATGACTATCCATTCTTAATAGAATCCTATCTATTCAAAATCATATCAATTTGGTCCATTGATTACTATACTTCCAACTGTCC